TGCTTTTTTTTATGTGTCTGTAAACGACTTTTTACGCAGAAATCTTATTCTAATCGAAATCTTTATACAGACTTTTTTGTAACAATTTCAAACATTCTATTAAACAAAATAGGGAACAAAACGTAAAAATCTAACATCAGCTATTACAGTGGTACACAGTGGTGGTTTTGATAAAACATCAAGGGGGGGGGGCGATTTTAAATTTGTTGGGTCTTATACCATAATGACATATATAAAATAAAGGATAAAAATTGTTTATGGTCCTATCATAAATTACACATAACTTTCATTTTAAATTCTGAGTGGAGCGAAGAAGTTTATGGTTTACGACTGTTTTATACGTGGACGACTTTTGTTCTTGTTCTGATGTACACGATATAGCAACTTTTCTGAAAAGAAATTTTGTTAGGGAAGTATTTTAAAAAGGTAATTTTTCGATTTTTTTTTTTTTTAGAAGATTTCCCAACAAATGTAAAAAACTGAAGAAAACCGGGAAAATATAAGAAATGTAGGTATTAGTTAAAAATATTATGGCCTCTTTTTCCTGTGAACAACTTTTCTACCAGCAATTTGGCTCCAATTTATAATTATAGCAATTTTTCTAAAAAGAAATCGGTGTGGGGAAGTACTTTAAAGAGGTAATTTTTCGATTTACTCAAAAGTTTTCTCATCAAATTTGAAAAATCGAGAAAACGTAGGAAAAACGGAAAAATCGGATCAATATTAAAAAAATATTATTAACGAAAATATATAATACCTATTTAATTATTTTACTATAATACTACATAGGTATTGTTGACAATGCATCACTATCAACTGAACTCCACGGAGAATCTTTTTTTTTTTGTTAGCAGTGATTTATCATTGCATGAGTACAGAACATAGCTAACAGTTGACAAAAAAAAAAAATAGGTTCAGAGGATCGATTGCCCCCATTGCCACCCCCCTGAAAACCACCACTGGTGGTATATTATTACTACCTACATAAGTAATAAAAAATTAGCATGTCCTATGACCTATCATTATAATGTTCTATAATCTATAAAAATCACAAACATATTCATTGTATTCGTTTCACACCTTTTTTTTTTTTTAGTTGTATCATTCTACTTTATTTTGATTTAATCTGGTTATTATTATTATTATTACTGCTAGGAGAACAAATAAATTAAACGCATAAAAGAAATTAAAATTTTGAAACGGTGTGTATGTGTTTATACATTCAGGCATTCAGTTATGACCGAGGATAGGTAATTTATTTCAAAAACCAAATAATAATTCTGTATTAAAGTGTATTATTTTAAAAAAAAAACCGTATAATAAACAAACTGCATGTATTGTCCATTAATTTTTAACCATGTTAAATAATTTTAATCGTAATATGGAAAAACATATTTAAATTTAACGAGAATATAATAGTATGTACAACACGCAATGTTTTAGAAAGAACGAGTTCAATTTTACGCGAAAGAACCATGAACGTGTTCAGTTATTACACGAACGCAAACC